CTCCGCGTCGAAGAGCTGGGAGGGGCAGAGCCCGGGAGGGGTCCGGGGCCCGCCCCTGCGGCGAGAGGGTGGGCCAGCGAGAGGGGGAGAGCCGTCGCGCAGTGCTTGCGCCGCCGCTCCAGCGCTGCAGTGGCTCGAGGCCCGTGCCCAGGCCTCTCCTCGGGGGCGGCAGAGAGGGGGGGGTGACTCTGGGGGGCCACATGCGAACCCTACCCCCACCCCCCACGATTTCTGAGGGGGGAGGGTGGGGTTCACTTCGCTCGGGAGCTCCCGAACGAAGGGAACCCCACCCTCCCCCTCAAAAGTCGTGGGGGGTGGGGGGCAGGGTTCGCATGTGGCCCCCTAGACTACGGGGGGGCGGACTTCATGGCGCGGGCCATGATTTTTCCTTGGATTTCATGGCGCCTCTTCTTATTTCCTTACGTCCCTGGTCCCCCCGCTGGGCCGCGCACATGCCGCCGGTCATGATGTGCACCCCCCCCCTCTTGGACACCCCCTTCTTGGCCGCTCCCGATCTCCAGGGCGCTGTAGGTTCGTGTCGTGTCGACCGGCTGCGACCCCGCCAGCGGCGTTCAACTCTGAACGCCGCGGGTGACCCCGAGTCGTTCGATGTGGAATGGTTTAAACGTTTCGGGAACGGCCGATCGTTCAAGGTTGAACGATCCCCGCGGTGTCAGGAACCAACGCTGGGGTCGACACGACGCGAACTTGCTGCACGCGTCCTCTCCGGGAGAACCCGGAAAGGCATAAACATATAAATGTTCGGAGCTCCGCGCAGATTAAGTCGGGCATGTCCCCTGTACAGGAGCCATATGCTAGAATAGTTAAACATTACCCTGTGACGTACCCAACCCATTTGTATCATGTGAGACGAGGATTTGGCCGAAACTTGCACGGACAATCAAATTGCAGGATCCGTTGTTTGATATGTAAGCTACTTGGGACACGCGCCAATGGAATGATGCGCAGGAAAAACCATACAAGAACGAGGGGCGACAACTACAGGCTCGAAGAGGACATGGGGAGTCGGGAACGAAGAGCAGGAGAAAGACGTGCGGGAAGCCCACTGTGCTGGGCCCCCCAGCAGGCCTCGAAAGTGGCGACAGTTTCACAGATCGCAGCCCCCCAGGGATGGCGAGGTCCCATTTGAATCCGCGTGGCCCACTGTGCTGGGCCCCCCAGCAGGCCTCGAAAGTGGCGACAGTTTCACAGATCGCAGCCCCCCAGGGATGGCGAGGTCCCATTTGAATCCGCCGTGGGTGCCCACTGTGCTGGGCCCCCCAGCAGCCCTCGAAAGGGGCGACAGTTTCACAGATCGCAGCCCCCCAGGGATGGCGAGGTCCCATTTGAATCCGCCGTGGGTGCCCACTGTGCTGGGCCCCCCAGCAGGCCTCGAAAGTGGCGACAGTTTCACAGATCGCAGCCCCCCAGGGATGGCGAGGTCCCATTTGAATCCGCCGCGGGTGCACACTGTGCTGGGCCCCCCAGCAGGCCTCGAAAGTGGCGACAGTTTTACAGATCGCAGCCCCCCAGGGATGGCGAGGTCCCATTTGAATCCGCCGTGGGTGCCCACTGTGCTGGGCCCCCCAGCAGCCCTCGAAAGGGGCGACAGTTTCACATATCGCAACCCCCCAGGGATGGCGAGGTCCCATTTGAATCCGCCGCGAGTGCACACGGTGCTGGGCCTCCCAGCAGGCCTCGAAAGGGGCGACAGTTTCACAGATCGCAGCCCCCCAGGGATGGCGAGGTCGTTTTGAATCCGCCGCGAGTGCACACTGTGCTGGGCCCCCCAGCAGCCCTCGAAAGTGGCGACAGTTTCACAGATCGCCAGATCGCAGCCCCCCAGGAATGGCGAGGTCCCATTTGAATCCGCCGCCAGTGCACACTGTGCCGGGCCCCCCAGCAGCCCTCGAAAGTGGCGACAGTTTCACAGATCACAGCCTCCAGCCGCGGTGGGTACCCACTGCGCTGGGCCCCCCAGCAGGCCTCGAAAGTGGCGACAGGTTCACAGATCGCAGCCCCCCAGCTGGCACGCAGCGACGAGCGAAGGCAGGGGGGAAGAGAGGGACGGGGGGGGGGGGCGGGAAGGAAGGCGCGAGCAGTGCTTTATTTAAAACGAGAACCCAACGTAGGAGGGTTGGGAAAAAACAGGCTGGGGACGAACTTTCCGGCTCTATTTTTGAATATCGGTGGACTCTTCTTTTTTTTCTTCCAAAATCCGCCTGCATGACGACGTGCCCGACCTGGGCGCAGATCTATTGCACCGCCGCTGCGCCCCCCTGGCGGCGACTCCGGCGCTGCGCCTGGCGCGCGGAGTGCGCCAGGGGGGGGGGCCCAGCGCAGACCTGAGAAAGCCTTGGCATCGCTCGGACGTGTGCATTTTTCTTTTGGCGATGACCATCGAGGAGCATTTTTGATCATTTGGCGAAAAAAACACGCGCGAAACCAAAAAAAACACAGGAAATGGACGTCCGAGCGATGGCCAGGGGGGCGGTGGGGCCCAGCGCAGACCCGAGAAAACCGCGTGGAGCTCCGAAAGTTGGTGCTTGTGCCGTTCCTGCTCCCTCGACCTCTCCTGCCCTGGCCCGCGCCGTGCACCGGCAAAGAAGCCCACCGGCCATGCGCGGCCCGGCGGCCTACGAGGGCGTGGACGCGAGCGTATGCTCGGAGACCGAGGCCAGACGGGGCCCGAGGATCATCAGGAGGAGAAAAAACACACAGACACAAGAATCCTCGACTCTTCAGAAAATATTGAAAAATATGGGAAGTGGGCGGGAAGACAGAAACCCAGAAAACATGGGAAAATATGGGGGATGATTTTATTTGTGTGTATTTATTTGTGTGTCCTGGGGCCCCTTCAGATCAATCCGCTGCAGAGAGTCCCAGAACCTTCTCGGAGCGTTCTGGGGCGTTCTGATGAGGCCGCGGCGCCCGAGACAGCCTCCAGAACCGCGGGATCTCAGAGATTCTCGGTGTTCTGGTTGACCCCAAAGGGGGTCCAGCGCAAAGGGGGTGGTGCAATAGATTTTGCGCAATCTATATATATATATATATATATATATATATATATATATTCCTCTTCCTAAAGTTTTATAAGCACGGGCGGGGGGAAAACCCATCCCCCCCCCAAAAAAAAACGAACTCCCGCGATCTGGGGCTTTGGGACCCTCCGGGCGGGCCTCGAAGTGGCCCCCCTGGCCTCGCAGGGCGTTTTGCCAAGCCTTCCCAGCACACCTAGGGCGATCAGGGGGGTCATCGGAGACGTCTCAGAGACCCCCCATGACAGCGCAAGAGCGCTCCAAGAGTGACCGACGTGACCTCAAGATGGCCCAAGAGGCCTCCAGGACGGTCCCAAAAAGGCGTCCAAGAGCACTTTCAAGAAGCAACAATCATGGATGTTCTGTTAGTTTTTGGCGAATTTTGGGGTTATCCTCTTTTCGGCTTCCCGACGCTGCAAGACGGCTGTCTTCGGGGCGTCCGAAGCCGCCTGGGAGGCTCCAAAATCGCCCCATAAACATCCGAAAGGGCTTCCAGACAGTCCGAGAGAGCCCCAAAACGGCACAACACGGGTCCAAGATGGCCCTCAGAGAGCCCCATGGCGGCCCAAGATGGCCCCAAGACACCCTCCGAAGCATTCCAAATCGTGACCCGGTCGTTCAGGGAGACCGTGGTTGGAGGCAGGGTGGCCCGAGGAAGCCGCCAGAGGCCCCCAGAATACGCCCAGGAGGCCTCCAGAAGGCCTTCAAAACAATGTTTTAGGCCCCCAGAGGCTCTCCCAGTTGGAGCCTCCGCAAAAAAAAGCTGAGGAGGATAGAGAGAATGCGCAGGGTATGGCGAACATGCGGAAAAAGAAGCATGGAGGAAGGATCACGAATATCATTATTATAGCGGCGATGCTGGAAAAGGCAACAAGGAGTTATCGCTGAATTCTCGGCTTGACCTTCCTGCTTTTCCGCCTGCACACTAAGCTTCAAGGACCAACGTGCATGGCGCGAAGCGCCAATGCAGTCTTGTATATATGTATATATGTGTATATATATACATATATATACGAATATGTGTATATATACATATATATATATATATGTATGTGTGTGGTGTTGCAATCAGATTTTGAGCGTGCAATGCATTCCGGTGCGCAAATGAATTGCTGGGCTGTCGCGTGCAATACGTTAGTTGCAATACAATGCTATACACTTCTCTGGCGCAGCACACTTGCAATACAACGGCCCCAAACCTTCTGCACAACCCCCTTTCAGCTGGACTCACTTTTGGGTCAACCAAAGATTTACAGTGGAGACCCGTGCCAAGAAACACCCTGCTCGCATCTAGGGTGCCCTATGTTTCTTGGATTTCGATGGTTCTGCGATGGACAGCGTGGCGTTCCCACACCAAACATCCATGGACTCCCTGGGGTCTCAGGGTTGGGTCTCTTGTGGAAGGCCTCTTGTGGTCGAGCCCTTACTGTATCCTCATCCGAACCCAGAGATGCGACGTCCTGATTTTTCCAGTACGGCGTCCCCGGAAGTCCCGACCCTTTCCCAAGAACCGGTGTTTCATCCTGAGTTGTTTTTGACGGCCCCGGGGACCGGCGAGGGCCCCCAAGGGCAAATTCTCCGTCCTGATCTGTTTGACGCGACCACGTTTGGGCATTGTTGCGAACACGTGTGATAAATAACAAGTGTGATAACATAAGCGAGTGTGATAGATCACAAGTGTGATACAACAGGTGTGATGTGAGAAAGGACGTGTGTTGTTTTAACGGGTAATGGAAGTATGATATAAAACATGTGGCACAAGTGTTGCTTTCTCACACTTGTGTTTTAGAACACCTCTCCTGGCTTCGCCTCGCGAAGCCGCGGGCGTAGAGGAGGAGGAGGAGGAGGAGGAGGAGGAGGAG